TCGAGTGCGCGCCGCTGTCATGCTAGAAAACACTACCTTCCTTCCACGGCTGCCTGATTACGTCCACGTGCGCGAGAAACCTACAATTGATGACTTGCGGGATGCTCCTAAACGCAAGCAGTACGATATCATCATCGCACCGCACTCTCTTCTCGGTCTTGAAGAAGAACATGAGCGCAAACAACACGTGGAGAACTTGTGGTCTCTTTTGAACCCCAACGGGGGTATTCTCATTCTGCTCGAGAAGGGCCGCCAGAAGGGCTTCGAGGCTATCTCTGGAGCTCGTGAAATGCTCTTGAAGCGCCACATTGCAAGCCCCGGCTCTACCGAATACGACAACTTCCTGGAAGACCCCGATCAACGTGAGGTCATTGAGAAGGAGCGTGGAATGATCGTCGCTCCCTGCACCAACCACTCAACTTGCCCGATGCACAATTCCTCAGGTGCTACCAAGGGTCGTAGAGACTACTGCCATTTCGAGCAGCGATACATTCGCCCCCCATTCCTGCAGCGCATCATGGGAGCGAAAGATCGTAATCACGAAGATCTTAAATTCAGCTACCTTGTCGTTCAGCGTGGCGTAGACCTACGACAAGAACAAGCAATTCGCCAAGGTCCAGAGGCTACAGATGCCGCGTTCGAAGGATTCGAGGACGAGGAGTCTGACATCCCCAACAAACCAGCCTTCCACACTCTATCCCTCCCTCGCGCCATCTACCCACCCATGAAACGCCGCGGCCATGTTATCTTTGATCTCTGTACGCCCGCCGGCAAAATCGAGCGCTGGACTGTCCCGCGCTCTTACAGCCGCCAGGCCTACCGCGACGCACGCAAGTCCCACTGGGGAGATCTGTGGGCTCTTGGAGCCAAGACCCGCGTCCCGCGCAATCTGAATCTTGGCGAAAAGCATGGCGAGGGTAAGAAGGAGCGCCTGGCTCGCCGCGCGGCGACTAAAAATTCCATACGTGACGCCGAGGAAGAGGGTGACTTTGAAAACGAGGGAGAAGAGGAGGATGAAGACTATGAGGTCTATGACTCGGATATTCCTGATGTCCCCGTTAAGAAGAGGGGCCAGCACATCCCCAGTTGGAAAAAGCATAATGATAAAAAGAAGCTTCGTCAGGCTTACAACAAGCGTTCTGTTGACGAATAAGTGGCTTTGATTTGGCGTTCTTCTTGTCTGAATTTGAAGGTTCAAAAACATGTACTATACTACTAACCGGCAGCATTTGGCATTGGGACTGGGGATTGGATCTTGTTTGTATACTAGGAAATTCTCGCACTTCTACAGATGTAAATATTGCATCTTCACTCTAATCAATGGATGACGTGTATTTGATTTTTTTTGACACAGTATCAGAGGCGTCATTTAGCCTGAGTCAATCCTGCTTTTCTTTAATCAGGTGGCCCTGATGGAGGCCATAGGGGATCCCACTAACTGGTCATGAAGCATGGTCTTGTCACAACCTGGAGGAACTGGGCCCGGCTTAAGAAGCGCCTGCGGTGACCGGATATCTTTCCTGTGTGGAGCTCTGCGATGAACATGGGGTTCTTTGAAATGCACTGGTCGTGAGAGGCATTCATGGTCTCGTTAAGACAGTCGCTGGTTTCACACTTGGTGTTTTTTTTTTCTAGCCAGAGCTGGCGAAGCACGCACAGTCTAGAAACAAGTGGATAGAACTCAGTTTCGAAAGTCACATTGGAGTCAAAGTCTCCTGGCAGGTCAGTCGCAATTGGTAATAGCAGATTTTCTTATCTTGCAAAGTGACACTGTTACAATCACTGCGCAGCCATACTCTTTCGCAACTGCCTTTGTTTCTGCGTACTCTGTAGTTCCAATCGATCGACTGCGAACTTAAGCCGTTCTTTCTTCTGCACAAGTCTCCGCAGCTCTGCAGCCTTGGATGTGGCTGCATTACCTGACGATGCAGCGCCGGACCCCGCCATGCGACCCCGCAGTGAGCTGCTTTGAGGTTGGCTGCGAGTAGCTGATGACCGGCTCTCCGGAGTGGACGAGAGTCGACCTTCTTGAAGTTCACATTTCGCCTTGAGTCCTTGTTCGCGGCGCGCGAGCTTTTCAACGTGGTTTGATGAAAGCGTGAGGAGGTGGGCGATGCTGGGGGTGATTTCGTCAAGGAGAGATTGCTGCGCTTCGTGCAATGTAGGCTCAGGGAGGAGCTCAAAGTGCTATTTAAAGACATTTTGGTCAGTCTCATAGCTTCTCGTTTCCTTTCAGGGATGAAGCTTTGGAAGAACATACTCGCGTTGTTTGGAGGACTTTACATAGACGAGGGAAATCGTTCACACCCGCATCGAGAGTGGATATAGAGTTGTCCAGAATCTGGAGAGAGGACTGTAATGAGGTGACTGAGGAAGACAATGAAGCTGCCATAGTTTGTGCTTTGATGTTTGAGTTGAAGATGATTGTTTACAACAGTCGGGATAGATCGGGCTGTAAAAGCGGCATGACACCGCCTTTAAGGCGGCGTGGCCTCGGGACCGGGCAAACCTCCCAAACCTCTCTTCTCCTCTTCCGTCCTCCTACCTCACCATCCTCCCGAACACCGAATTCTCTCCGTATTCGATTCACCTGTCACAATGTCTCTCCTCGGAAAGAAGTTCCCCGGCGCTCTGTGTATGTGTTTTTTAAGACCTCGACTACAACTTGTCGGAAAACGAGATAAGGACCACCGACTGACGCACATGTTCACTTACAGCCCAGCCTATGGCTCCCTTCTTCGCTGCCGGTACGCATACCCTCTAAATCCTGAAAAGTCTTGACGATCCGATATGCATGGATTGTCAATTCTGAACGTTGCGCCCTCGGAGCGATTGTTGATTGAGCATCACTCTAACAATTCTCCTCTTTTAGGCCTCATTGTGCTCTACGGTGTCAACTCTCTCCAGAATGCTCTGTCCAACAGTGAGTTCACTCCACGCAGCTACATATGAATTATCGACGGCTTTCGGGCTCATGCGACAATATCCGCAAAAATAACTTTACGAGGAGCGTCTGCAAGCATAATCAACTAACATTCATCTCCGTACAGCCGCTCAGTACAAGAACGACCCCCGCAACCCCAACGCTAAGCCCGCTGGTAAGGCTGACCACTAAACTGGGTCGACATTGAATGCATTTTGAGATCCCATTTGTTCGTCAATGAGTAGTGGGACAACGTCGCGATGTGTGGGTGGAGGGAGATGGCCCAGGCCCTCAATGGCCGGCTTGCAATCTTTGTGATTACTCTGCGGGCAGTTTACCCCTGTCCAAGCATATAGAGTCTAACCACCTCGATGGGGTGACTTGGATCAATTCACAAGCTGTACCATTACCATTCTGAGCAAAACGCTTTTTCCTTTCGTAGTATCTCTTCTGTTGGATGATATCCTATCATCCAGAGCAAGGAGAGTAACTTGGACCGAATGATCCGGACCCTGTTGTGTTGTAGATGTAGGTATAGGTTTTGTGGACTCTATACTTCACAAATGCTCATTGCTACGCGTTTCACTTCGGGCTAGCGTTCTGCTTGATTGCGGCCGTACAACAAGTCAAAATTAGCTCTTTTTTTGATACTGCTTCATTCTTTTCCAATTTAAATAAGCATTCATCCAAAAATACTAGCCATAACGTAGGGCTTTGATGCCTCTCAGTGTGAAATCTTACACCCAGCACGCTAAACCCGATCGGGCAGCCAATTTTCGCCAACTCCGCCTGGCCGAAGGACAATCATTTTCCGACCTCAACTCCGCAATTGCCCCCAACTATAGACGCCAAAATGACCAAAATGGCAGGGCTCTTCCGCCCTAAGAAGCTTGATCTCTCTGGATTTGTCAATACCCGCTTGATTCGGGACAACAACAAGCGCATGGCCTTTGAGCAGACCGAGCCTGAACGGTACGAACTCTGTCCTTCTCCCAGATGCTCTGATCTTGGTAAACATGATGGGAATTGAGCCACACATGCTGACTCTCTGTTTTTTGACAGACAAGCTCTCCGCTACATGATCCGCAACACATCTCTCCCGGGCCGTGTCCGCGCGCAGGCTCAGCTCCAATTGTCGCAGATGCACGCCTACACCCGCCCCACGCAGATCAAGAACCGTTGTGTGGCATCGGGCACTGCCCGTAGTGTCTTCCGCGATTTCAGAATCAACAGAGTAAGTGGAAAACTCCGGCCAATGGTTGCATCCTGCCCGGGGCTTTTGTATTCACATCGCTAACACTGTCTTCTAAAGTACCAATTCCGTATGCAGGCTCTCGCAGGTGAACTTCCCGGCGTGAAAAAGGCCAGTTGGTAATTGGATGAGATTGTTGCTGGTGCTCTGTAATATATGGAGGCCTCTGGTTGAATTGTTTGCACGATGGCGTTTTCTTCTTTGCTTCCATTGGGTGGAAGCATGTACAGTATGCAATTCTATTTTGCAGAGAAATCAAACATTTCTTTGTCGGTTTAGTTTCTCTGACCATACTCAGCTGCTCCCGGCTTAGTGGGATTGACAGTCCAGGTATCGCGTTGGGCCCGATCCTCCTTTGCTGATGTTGTGGGATCAGATTCTTTTTGTTTAGCGTTGAGATTTTTTTTAATTGAGCTGTTTGCTTCCATCTTGATGATCAGCTGCAGATCAGCATGCTGATGTGATCTAATTCTGGACTGGTATTTCATCTGATCCATCCAGTGGTGTATATCAAGAAGATTCCAGTCATAGATCCTCAATATCTGCGGCAACATTATTCGGTGTAGCCTGTTGACAGGTTAAATATCACTGGTCATTGAGCAGATGGGAAGCTTGTCGATTCCTGTCATAATCACATCCTCACTGACCTTTACCCTGTCGTAGAATTGCGTTGAAAAAGCGCGGTGCCTTCTGATTCTGCTTGTGTGATACTTCCCTCTTCCTTTTATGGTCTCCTTCTTTTTGTCCATCACTCATCTTCCCCTCTTTTCTCTTTGACCTTCATCTCAAATCAATCTCACACGTTGATTCTGAAGCTTTGCCACCATGAATAGTGTTCCGAGAGACTTCCTCCCCGATGATATCGTCTTCGCAGAAGACCTATTGGAGCTTGGGTAAGTTTTCCGTAGTTTTTCGGTGTGAGATCTCAGCCTCGGGTGCTAACAGTCCATTGAATGACCTAGATTTGTTGTCACGAAAGATGACAAAATCCGGTACATCGCCGCCCCGGACCAGGGCCCTCGTTACAAGGTCAACCGAAGTGACCGCATCAACAAGGTCCACATTGAGGCCCTCCATAGTCAGCAAACCTTCAGATACATTTTCATAGTAGTCTATGGTCCTGATGAATCATTTGGCGCTAATAACCTCACAGAGGCGATCCGTACCAACATCATCGACCGGCTCCTGGGAATGGGCATGCATTTCATGAAGATTCCCAAGGGTAGCAAGAGGCAGGTCCCCATCATGGTGTCGGGCAATGTGACCACTGCACCTCGAGTTGTTGTTTTCTGCGGCGAGATTGTTGAAGACCTGGGTGTCTTCTCGTACCGTGACGCTTGCGACGACGGTATTTCTTTCGGGTCGATCCTGGGCTTTGCAAAAGGTCTGCTCGGTGAGAATGCTCAAGATTCGCCTAATGCTCTCATTCTTGCCAACGCTGGTCACACCGTCTGGTATAATGCAGGTTGGCTCGCGATGACCCCGGACAGTGTTGATGGTCAACATCGCACCTCTGCTGTGGAGCGCAAGCGTCCACTGAGTGCTCGTAACGTGGTTGGCTCCATCGGTGAACATGTTCGGAATGTCTTCGAACAAGTCTTGATGCGCGGTACCTTCCGAGTCGGTGCCAGAATCGACGTCATCGGCCTGTCTGAGGGCGGCCATGCTGCCATGACATACCTGAAGAATCACTGTGGGTATCTGACTGGATACGCTAGTTGGAGATTGCTTACTGACACGGCCCCTAGGGAGTTTCTGGTCGCCCCATATCTCCTCCCTCTCCCTGATCAACCCCGAGACAATGCTTGGCACAAACACCAAGACGGATGACCTGAAGGGTCCAGGGTCATTTGCCTGGTTCATGAAACACCGTTGCCGTGCCTGGATCATCTGTGATAAGCCGATTGGCACACGTATGCCTGGTCTTGACCTCCCTCATGGCTGCAACACATACTCCTCCGGGGAAGGCACAAAGTCTGCGTGTATGATCACTCGTGGTGTGGGACACATCTTGACTTGGATGAACATTATGCACTACACTCCAATGGCGATGGAGAGATTTGGTGTGGTCTCTGGCGAGACCGATCCCAGCCACAATGTTATTCTGATCAACAACGTTCCGGAAGTCCCTGACGGCAAGATTGAAGTGCATAACCTAGATGTTATAAGCCAGATGAAAGGCTTACTGGCCGGTGTCACGTTCACGGAGGACATGAGTACTTTTTTCAATAACAAGCTATACTCTGCTGATGATAATGAAAACACAAGCGATGACGGCAGCGAGGGTTCGGCCGTTTACAGAGTTGAAGACAATGATGAGCTTGATGCTCTTCCTGACGCTCCCAACGTTCTTTCCGTTCCGGAAACTCCTCCTCACTACGACGACGTGGTTGTCGGCAAGACTGGGCCATTTGACCTCAAAGATCTGCAAGATATCCGAGAGGACGAAGAAGAAGAGTAAACCCCGTGAGAAGTGCCCTGCTTTCTTATACGGTGGCGCTACAGGTTTGGTTTGTCCGTGGGTGGGTTTTCTCTGGAGTCTGTGTTTCCCGGTGTTTCGACCGGTTGCTTTTGCTTCTGCTTTGCTCTTTTGAGGTTTCTTGCGCGTAGATGCCTCTTGTTTCCTCCCTAGTTGAGATCGATCTGACCAGAAGAGATCATGCCAAATTCGCCCAAAAAAAAAGGAACTAAACATCGTCTGCCAAGATGGCGAATGAATGAAACTTCATGTTTTAGTTTCTCCAATTTCTCCAATTTCACTCACGACATATGTTGTAGAGACATACAGACATGTAGGTACCCAGGTTAGGTGTCTCACGAAGGCACAAAAAACCCCACGGCTCTTACCAGCATACAGTACATCGGATGAAATATCTACCCTTGCATATCTTGAATTTCAATTGAATAGACCTTGGAACGTTTCATTTGGCATCTGCCAAGTGTATTATACTACCCACCACGGCAAAAGATAAGGAGGCCGAAGCTATTCAGGCCGAAGACAATTTCCATCGAGTAAGCTGATAAAAGCGATAAGCGGGAATTGCAGATTTTACATCGGAGGTGCCCGATAACTTTCCCGCCTTGAATGATGGATGTTATCTTCTCAACAGGTCAGTATCTCGGAGACAAGAGACTTCAGGGCATTACCATGACTGTCCAGTTCTTACAACGCCGGGCTCTGGAAGGATGGTTCGGTGGGCCTGTGGATATTCGTGGGATGTTCCTGGAAATTCCCTTTGGAAAAAAAAAATTTGAACTACTGACCCTGGTTCCAGACCTTTTGTTTATATATATACATTTTTTTTTTTCCGGAGGCACAGTGGCGTATTTATATCTCCCCCAATCCCCTTATCTTGAGGCGTTTCCTCTTATCGTCTTTTATCTGAACAGCTTTAGATTCCGTCTTTTTGGTTGATATTCGAGTTTGAAGTATAGGATTTACCAGAGTCATGGCAACCAACCTCTCCTCCATTGCCGTGGTGGCTTCATCTCGCGCCGTTATCTCCGGTCGTTTGACCTCTGCTACGGTGGTGATCTCTCGGACAACTGGGAAGATCACCGCTGTCTTTGATTCCGTGCTTCCAGCATCGGAGTTCCCTGTCGATACTCCCTATACCGACTACTCGCCTCATGTTTTGCTGCCCGGCTTGGTTGATGCACACGTTCATTTGAACGAGCCCGGCCGCACGGAATGGGAGGGCTTCTACACCGGCACCCAAGCCGCTGCCTTTGGTGGTGTGACTACCGTCATTGACATGCCTCTCAATGCTATCCCACCCACTACCACCGTGAACGGCTTAAAAGAGAAGATTCAGGCTGCCCAGGGCAAGTGCTGGGTTGATGTTGGTTTCTACGGCGGTATCATCCCCGGCAATGCGGGCGAGCTCAAGGCTCTTGTCCAGGAGGGTGTCCGCGGCTTCAAGGGTTTCCTGATTGACAGTGGTGTAAGTGATTGCTATCAACCTCGTGGGTGCTCTAATTAGTAGTAACTTGGATCACAGGTTGACGAGTTTCCCGCTGTCGGCAGAGAGGATATTGAAAAGGTCATGATCGAGCTGGCCGATGAGCCAACAACTCTCATGTTCCATGCCGAAATGGTGCCTCCCATTACCGCATCTGTGGGCGACGAGGGTCAGACATCTGATGCACCTGCCGACCCTGTTGGCCCTCTTGAGGCGTATGCTACTTTCCTGGCCTCGAGACCTTCCTCATTCGAGACCTGCGCCATCGAAAGCATTCTGTCTTTGGCTCATCTGGCTCCCAACCTCCCCTTGCATATCGTTCATCTCTCTGCAATGGAAGCTATCCCATTATTGCGGGACGCCCGCGCCCATGGCGTCAAGATCACCGCCGAGACTTGCTTCCACTATCTGTCCCTGGCAGCGGAGGAAGTACGCGACGGCGACACCCGCCACAAGTGCTGCCCACCTATCCGCTCAAAGTTGAACCAAGATAGTCTGTGGGAAGAGCTGGAGAAGCACACCAACGACGGCGTCATCAAGACCGTCGTCTCCGACCACTCCCCCTGCACACCAGACCTGAAGATGCTCCCAACTCATATCCCCGGTCACTGTACCGGCAGCAAGGATGAGGAAAGTGGTAACTTCTTCTCTGCCTGGGGTGGCATCTCTTCCGTTGGACTGGGCCTCCCCATTCTCTGGACAGATCTCAGTCGTCGTCGGAGCTTGACATCTTCACCAGAAGACGAGAATACCAAGAACGCGCTCCAGGACGTCGTCCGTCTCTGCTGTGCCAACACTGCTACTCAGGTTGGCTTGCAGTCGCACAAGGGCGACCTGGTTGTCGGCTTTGATGCTGATATCTGTGTTTTCGATGACTCTGCCGAATGGACCGTGGAGCCGAGTACCATGCTCTTCCGGAACAAGTGCTCCCCATACCAGGGTCGTACTCTGCGTGGCATGGTCCGGGAGACCTGGCTGCGTGGTGAGCGTATCTTCAGCCGTGACCAAGGCTTTGACAACCAATCGCCGCATGGTAAGCTGCTTCTTGAGAAACGGGGTTGAGATCTTCCCGTTCTCTTCTTTTCCTTCTATGACTTCTTTTCCCCCCCCACTCTCTTTTTGTCCAAGCTTGGGACAAGATGACATTTCGGCAGTTCGTCTAGCTCTTTTTTTAACGTTTTCTGCCACGTAATATCTCGATCTCGACTTGTCAGATCGAACCCTCTGATGAGCACTAATGATCGCATAGCATCCATTCCCGTTAGATGAATGACAACGCGTTGTCGCTTTATGGATAGAACACCACAAGCAATCAATTGGATCCATCTAAGACTTATAGAACAAGTTTATCAAATTAAAACCAAAACAAAAACACAGGGTCATCATCGTCAAATACTAGACAAATCCACTTCAAAGACTCTTAACATCTATCCCTCCCCTTCTCCCACCTCTCTCTAACCCTCCTCCTAACACCCCCATTAACCCCCTTCCCCCAAATTTCCTCCTTCTTTGTCCCAACCACAACGCTCTCCTCCACCCCCTTATCCTCCTCCCCAATAGCTCCAATGACAACCTTCCTCTCCCTAAGTCCCCTCTCCTTAACCCTCGCCCGATCCACCTTCCCAAGATACGTCCAGTACAAAAACGACTCCGCAACAGCAACACTCAACGCTGCAAACAGCCCCAAAAGGACCTTAACCGCCTCGCTCGACAGGACCTGCGGCGTTGGGAACCGAGTGAGTGCCGCGTACACGCTGAACCCGGTCACTAGCACCGAAATGAAGACGCTGGAAACCAGCGAGATCGTCAGCGTATCTTCTTCTACTTGGCCGTCGCTTGTATAAGGCGATGTGTGTGGATCTGCGTGGTCGGCGTTGGGTCGGTAGTTTGGGTTTAAGAGGCGTTTGTAGGATTCTTGTTCTGTTGCTGCGAGGAGGCGTGCCTTTGATGCGAGATATTCTGCGCTCTGGATAGTGTATAGTGTTAGGATCCGATTTTCGGATGGGTTGATAAAGTTGAGGAAAGGAAGGGCAGGGAATGGAGTTGTGTGTAGACCACATACGGGCTCTGGCTTCTTGGGCGGCGGAGGAACGTAGACTTTCGTGCCGCGGAGGAGGGAGCTGAGGATCGTTGGGGTATGAGAGGCAAGCTCTTTGTATTCTGAGTCTGTTTGAAGATATCTGGCGAGCCGGATCAGGTGGTCGTGGGCTATCGGGCCTTGGGCTTCCAGCGTGGTAGGCAGGTCGAGCTCCTCGTGGCGCGAAGCTGGAATAGCTTCGAACGCTGCGAGTATGCGATCTGTCGTAAGAAGGAAGACCATTCTGATACCAATCCAACGAGAATAGGGCCCATGAACTCGAATCCTTCGAGGTTTAGTTCATCGCAGGGGAGATAAAGCGGAATTCCAAAAAAGTGGCAGTTAAGCTCCTCCCCACATCGTCATATCTTCTCGTTCTCTCTCTCTCTCTCTCTCTCACACATCTTTGCGACGATGGCGGACTCCAAGAAGAAGTAATTGTCAATTCCTATTCCTCTGTATTTGCAGATTTCCCCTTCTAGCTGCAACCCTCAGTCTCAATTCCATGCCCGCATCCATTGAAACACAGAAACTAACCCCTCCACCATCCAGCACGGTAACAACACAAACCAACCCGCGCGGGATCCCCGTCGCACCTTTCATCGACAATGTCAGTGACTACGTCTCCTCCCGCGAGGAAGTCGAGCCTACCCTCCGCTCGTTCCAGGAGATGATTTCCAAGTACCAGTTTATGGAGGTGAACACCCAGCGCCGCGGCCAGGGCCTGCGGGAGAAGATCCCCGATATCAAAAAGACGCTGGAGATGGTGCGATTCTTGCAGCTGCGCAAGGAGGTAAATATCCCCCGCGCCTGTGGCGCTATCTATAATAAACCATTCGGGGGAAAAGTGACTCGTGAAGCATGGGGGGAAACACACACGAAACTGGAATCGAAATCGGGAATGCCAATGCACTAACATTTTGCGCTTGTTCAGTCCAACCCTGACTCAGACCTCGAGACTAATTTCGAACTCAATGATACCCTCTACGCCCGGGCTGCGATCTCGCCTGTCGATGCCGAAGAGGTCTACCTCTGGCTTGGGGCGAATGTCATGCTGGCGTACCCGCTTAGCGAGGCGGAGACGATGCTGGATGAGAAGCTTAGTGCCGCGGAGTCGAGCTTGCAGAATTGCGAGGAGGATCTGGAATTCTTGCGCGAGCAGATTACGGTTAGTTTATTCTAATTGCGAGAGGCATAGGTGTGAGGTTGGATATTGGCGCTTTTGCTCACGCTTCTTTGCAGACATTGGAGGTTGCCACGGCGCGTGTGTACAACTGGGATGTTGTAGAAAGGCGTAAAGAAAAGGCGGATGGCAAGGGTGAGGAGGAAACTAAAAAATAAGAAGCGCCCTGGTGGCTGAATGTTTTTGGAAGGGATTTATGGGATTTTATTAAAATGGTTGCCAATGTCATCGAATATGAACGGTCTATCATCTTCCAGGTGAAATATCAAGGAAACCATAATGCATAGAAGATTGAAATAAAGTAGTGGATATTAGAAGAATACGCTCTACACTAAATGCCCTATGCGTACAAAACGAAATAAGCGACGCATGTCATGATTCGTGAACACCCTTGGAAGGCAAGGGAAAATCGTCAGATTAAATCAAAAAAAAAAGGGAAAAAAGACCGTCCAAAAACCTTCAGTCTCCGTGAAGCTCGAGGACGCCACCTTCACCATGAAAATCTCCCACTCCGCGCGCCTGTATAGCGTGCTATTGTTGTCTAGTGACAGGGTGGGGATTTTAGGATGGTGGAAGATCTCGACAGAGCGCTGGAGTCTCGTGATGAAAACAAGATGCAAGTCAATCAAACTGGGGGGAAAAAAAAAACTCATTGGAACATGTTGGAACCTAACTTGTGGGCATCTGAAGCAGCTCGCTCACGCATCCGCTTCGAAATGTCGATGCCGGTTTCATCGCCGACAAACGTCCACTCTTCAATATCATGAAGGTCGTCATCGCCTCCATCCGGGGAGGTCTTAGCTGTAGGTGTAGGAGAGAATGGGGTTGACGAGGCAAGTGACTTCTGTCGGGCCAAGGTCTTAGCGTATTCAAGATCGCGATAGAGGGCCTGGATTGCAGTGGCCACACCGTCTTCCTAAACAGGGAGCAGAAAATTAGCAAGCCATCCACTAAGCCTAAGCAGATATCAAAAAACTCACATTGCGAATCTGAATACCCAGATTCCGTGCCTTTATAATCATGCGTTCGCTATGCGTTGCCTCCCAGAGAGCTCGCGAGAATACGCTGACGTTCAATTTCTTCATGCAGATACCAACGCCTAAATCCTCCACCCGGGAACCGAAGAAGAACTGATCTCCGAAAAATGGCTTAACAATGGTGGGGATGCCGGCTCGAAGACTTGCGCCGGTGGTTCCTGCTCCGCCGTGGTGGGCTGCAGCATCGATCTGAGAGAACAGCCAGTCATGGGGTGCGGACTGGATCAGATGAATCTCTGGTGGTAGAGGTATCTCAGTTTTCGTGCTAGCTGGGTCCCCAAGTCTATCGGACCACCCCTTCGAGATGATGCATCGGACATCTGCTTTCTGGACTGATTCGACAACAGTCCGCGTCAGGGCAGCAGGATCCGAGACCACAATGGATCCGAACCCGATGTACACCAGCTTCTTGCCATCCGCTCTGGCCTGCGCAATGAAATTTGATAGTTCAGTTGGAGGAGTCCAATCGGTACCCTCATTCAAAAACCAGTAGCCGGTAATGCGAATCCAATCCGGGTAATCGAGAGGCGGGGCCACCACGGAGGGCGAGTAATTATAAAGGAACGGGACTTTGTTTTGCTGCATCTTGTCCAAGGTTGTGGCCTTCAATCCCAACTCGTTGTTTCGCCAGCGGTTTACTTGCCCCGCGATAGCCTTCCAGAAAATGTTGTCGAACATGACGTATGTGATGTAGTTGTATGCTCCACCCATACGATTCTCTGGCACTGCGAAAGCATGAGGATAGGCCCGTGTTCTTGTCCATGGCATGGTGAACCCGCGGAAGTACGGAATCCTTAAAGCCTCTGCAATGTGGATTCCGGCCATGGCACTCGGCGACTCGATCAGAAGGTCACTGCCCTGACAACCAATCCAAGCCGATGACAAAAGATCATCGATCCATCCTCTGAACTTCAAGGAAGCTTCCCTGAGGAAGGAATATGTGAACATCCCGTTCTCCACGCAAATTCGCATTAGCTCCGCAGGATCGCCATCAACGGGGGCAAAGTCAATCCCGTGTTTTCTGATCCAGGGTTCGAACTCGGCGTGGGTCGCAATCTTCGGTTTGTGGCCCTCCGCGAGCAGTCCTTTGCAAAGCGCAATGTACGGCTGTACATCGCCCCGGGAGCCGATGGTCAGACAGGTAATCCTTAGAGGCTCGCGAGGTTTGAAGCTGATAATGGAAGCGCGAGGATCGTCAAAAAACGGATGTATCTCAGATGAATCTTCAGTGAAACTCGGACGTGCATCGTGTTCCTCAGGGCTGTCCAGTCTTGCTTCCTGGAGCATGCGGTGCTCAGCCTTGGCAGCTTCAATTTCGTCTCGCTCTTCATCTGCTAGCAAGCCAGATTCCACTAGGAATTTTACGGACTCCAGATTTTGATGCAATGTAACTGCACAGTCATCTCGTGAATCTGAGGCGTTGAACTCAAAGAAAAGCTCTTCATGGCCACGGATAATGACGACAAGTCCATGGTATCCGAAGCGGAAGCCTTTCTCTTTTTCAACATTCTCAATGTCCTTGAACGGTAAAATCATTTTGGTCCGCGTACCAGGAATCAGGCTGCGGAAACAAAGTTTCTTCTGACTTATGTAGATCTTGCCGTAGAGCGGGAGCACACGATGCAAATATGCGTAATAAGTCGCTTGCAGTTTTTCGCTAGATGGGAGAGCAAAGTGGGCACGAAAGCGATCCCCGTAATTAGATGCACCTTCGTTGTCCTCGGGATCAACGTTCTGGTCTTCGAGCAAGGGTCCTTCTCGCTCTCCATAATGCTTCTGCCCACCAATCCACATGCCAGAGACCTTTTCTATATAGCCCATTGACTCTGTTGCTAACAGCGTACTCATCTGTTTCGAGCGGCTCTTCAAGTATTCTGCAAAACCAGCGGCGCGTTGGAGGGGATATGTGCCCGCTTTGACAAGCTCGTTCAGATGAGTGACCGACCTCGGTCTTGAAGATTGCATTGAACTAGATTGGCCGGTGGTATGTCGCGTATCGCCTGTGGTTTCATTGCCACCGAGTGTTCCAGACGGAGAGCCTGCCGCTACATCTAGGTCCACCCGCGCAGACGCGGAGGGAGTCGTACCATCAGAAGTTTGTCGAATGGTTTCTCCCACATCTAATGTGCGTCTTCGCAGTTTGGGCATGGTGGGCGATTGAAAGACGTCGCTCCTGTGCAGTATCTGACTGGCAGATTCAGTGGTCTCTGTCATAGAATGTATTATCGGCGATGATCCGGTCCCTTGCTCCACGAATGAGTCCGCCGAGCCTTGATTCTCATTTCCTACACTGGAGCTTCGCTTGCGTGGTGAATCTCCCTGCTTTTGGTCGGATATTCGACCGCTGCTGGCCGACTGTCGCTTATGGGCAGAACGGCTTGATTCGGGTTGATGTTGGATGTCGTGTTTACCCTGCAACTCCTTCATTTCAGTAGTAGCCGATGCAGCATTGACTAGGCCTTTGATGTAATTGAACGCGTCCTGGCCCGAATCAAAGAACGAAAAGAAGTACTGTGAAGTGATCAGCAATGAACATGGTAACGTTTCGGCCCACGACGTACCTCGTCGATTGCATATGTTTCGCCGCTGTCGAGAACTCGGATTTTGAATGTCTCCGCAAAATCGGCCATAGGGCTCTCCTCCAGGTCAATAACATTTGTTATTGGGAATGATACTTTGACACTATCACCTTCATTATGCGTCCGAAATATGACTTTCTGGAGAGCTTTCACCCATTCCTTTGCACTGGTAGCACTGTCTGCTCTGAACAAATAGGTCCGCTGATCAGTGGTGACCTGAAAATCTTTCGCATCGCCGTCTTTGCGTTCTGCGAGAGATGCAGAGATCCCATATCGAAGATCGACATGTCCGCTAGGAAAATAGAGATTGGAGGGATCTGCATAGTATGAGAGGACGTCGCCCTTCAGAGCAAACCAATAGCGATGATACGTGGGATTCTTGCGGCCGCGTTTGGATAGGCACCCCGACTTTATCGCCACATTGGACTTCTTTGGAAGATAGGC